ATTTTCGAAGCAAATATCAAAAAAAAAAAAAATAAAAAAATAAATAAATAAATCAAACTTAAATATATTAATTCCACAGAGGAAAACTAAATGAAAAGCAGCAATTCACTGGAGAAAGCAGAAAGTAATCTGCCTTTTTCTTATCTGCAGTTACTTTAACAACACAAAACAGCTGATTAACTCTGTATTAAAGTACAAGCCCCCAGTTTCTCTGTAGTGTTTACACTCAGGAATCCAAAGTGTCTGAGCTGCACCAGTACGCGTTTTTCATGGCATGACCTTCTGCTTCTGTGAATAGCAGCATACCAGCGATGGATGTGGTCCCAAGGGCCTGAGGCTGGGTAATGAGGATATATCTAATGGCTAGATTTGACAAACAAAAATGACAGAAAGGACAGCTCACACCGGAGGCTAACTGTACCCACAGTCTTTGACACTGGGATGTGGGGTTTGGAGGCTGTTTGTGTGTGGAACGGCATACTGCGCCTCTGCTGCACAGAGCCTGGGTTTTGTAGTATGGATGCCTGTCATTCTGCTGCTGGTATGCTTTTCCCTGAGCTCTATTTATAGGGCTGTGTTTACTGCAAGCACGGAAGATTCCAAGGAAGATCTACTTCTAGCTGTGGGCATGGTCAGCACTGTCTGGATCAACAAAACCAACACTTCTTAGGGACAATCCCCAAAATAATCAAACAGTCATTAAGAAATGGCAACATCTGCAACTCAAACATTGAGCACATTAAAACAAGATAACATCTACTTGGTATGACTGATTACATCTGATTGTTACAAGCCTTTCAAGACATTTTACCAGACTGGAAAAAAAAAAATCTCTGAAAACCTTAAAGATTTAAATTTGGCAAACACGTCCAGCTCCATGCGTCTAGATTATCAACAGCTGGACTACATGACCTCATGCCTCGGATGCGTTGTTCATCTTGCACTTTTTATCTTCAAAATAGTTTTGAGCTGAATAGACTCAAGGTTGTGTTGTCAGCCCCTTGATTCAAAGCCATTTGGTATTAGCTGCTAATTCTAATGAAGAACGATGCTTTACTTAAACAGGCAATTGCTTTTTGAATGCCAGAAAATGTTTCATCTTTGCTAATGAGCACTCCTCTTAAATCCTGATGGAATTGCTTCAAACTAGCAGTTCAAAAATAATGCAAACTCAAACTTTGCCAAGTAGCAGAAACACTTCAAACCAGCATGTTGTTGGTCATTTAATGGATCAGAATGATGCTGATATAAAGCAACAGTAATTCATGGACTCAAATCAGTGGAAACTATGCTTTCTAAAAAGTCATGAGCATTCTAAGCTCTAAGGGTCACTGAATGCAACGTGCTGATCAAACACTTTTCAACTTCAGACCTCATAAAAAGGGCTATAAAGATGACCTAATCAAGATTAAAAGCCTGAGCAGCAGCACTTTGAATAAACGAATAAAGTCACAAGGTCCAAATTCCAACCCATGTTTTCCAAGTGAAGACGAAAAATGTAAAAGACCACTGAGCTGAATTCAAGCAAAAATCCTGTCAAAACCTCTTTCGCTGCAACTTTGTTGTGTCATGTGCGGCAGAGTTGAGGCGCGGATCACTAATCAGCTGACAGAAGATGGCTGCGTAGCTAACCTTTGCCTTTCTTAATCCTTTTATGAAAAAGGAACTATGGAAGGAGTGGTGGAACGGAACATCTTAGCACCATAGAAATGGAGGAAGAATAAGTTCAGTCACTGGTGACAGGCACTCTTCACAGTGCAACACAACAGCCTACACAGTAGTCCTGTGTGTGGCCCTCCACCATGGACTGGTACATAAATTATGCATTCAGAAAGAAAGCCATGTATTGCCTGGGATTTCTGCAAGTAGCTGCCCAATATTGTACCAATATAGAAGACAAGTTTCAGCCAAAGTACTTCAAAAATGTGTTTGGAAAAGAAAGGGTTCAATGCCATTTTATCAAGTTCAAGTCTTTTTGAAGGCTCTAGTAAACTTACAAGATTTACCTTTTAACAGGTATATGAGGACAGAAATAGACAACTCAATGTGCTGACAAAGCAACTAAATTACTGCTCATCCTCTCACCTCAACTTCACTAATGTATGTACTTGATCTAGAATCAGTTACATGCAAAACATTTTGTTGACTGGGAACCGTCTCTAAAACAGAAGCGTATTATAAAAACGGGAAGTTTTAAAACATCTGTTTGTTCCCCCTGTAAATTCTGGAAGTAATAAAAGTAGAAGTCAGCACTTACAGAAGAAAAAAAAAAAAGCACTTAGTGTCAAAGATATAATCAAATTTACCTCTTGGATTAGTAGCTTCACGGTCAAATGTGAGCTGATGAAAGCAGATATAGTCTCCTCAGTCACACCTTAAGATAAAAGCTAATACTCTCTGTGTTATGCCTTCCAAGGAAGGACAAGTAGAAACCACCCACCTCTGAAGAAACATTAATACTGCTTTATCATGCTTCATCCTTCTGTGAATCCAAAGAGGCCCACAGTTAATAAAACCTGCTGTCTGTCACTGGACAGACCAATAAAATCCCACTGAGCTGCAATGGTTGGGTTGTACACTGCAGTGGATATTCACATCCATCCTAAAAGTGCAGCCAGGGTTTTATCGGTGTGTAGCTGCATTATTATATAATTGATCACAGACACTAAATACTGTAGTAGGACTGCCCATGCATGCAGACCTCCATTTAAGGGCCATGTGTGATTGTAATGCACACTGCTGGAAAGGGGCCTGTGCACATTAAGTCTCATGCACACACATGGGAGGATGAGGGACTGCCATCTGTGCCGAGTGCTATTAGCCAGAGTACACCACAGCTGGGCCCATCCCTGCTGCCCCTGCCCCCACAATCATTACCCCTCAGGGACTTATGGAGGTTACATGGAGGGGAATAGTCTGCGTTGCTTGACACGTCAAGGCCCATCCCGAGCAGGCCTGCCAAATAAGATCTGACCATTTTGCATGGCCGCAGGGCCGACAGCTGTCGCAGACCAAAACCCAGCCGCTGTAACAAGATATCACGTAGCTGGTCTGGACATTCAAATTAGGCACCCCTGCAGATCCCCAAAGTCTCATCAACTGTCCTGACTAAGAAAATTATTGACATGTTTTTGGAGAAGTCTGTGGTTTAGTAGATTTAGTAGATAAATCAATTAAGTTTATTACTTAAATAGTTATTTATCAAAATAAATAACTTAAGTAATTAAAACATTTTAATTTAAAGCTCTACCTCCTCTTACTTTACTAAAGAAAATTAATTAATTAAAAAAAAATGTTGTTTTGGGTTTGTGCTGTACTTGTGACACAAAAAGACATCTAAAGATTACCGCCATATATAAAAAGCCAAGTGCTGTCTTAACAAATTCAATTACCAGATTAATCAAAAAAAAAAAGATTAATCACAGCTTTAGAACTTCCTAAACCTTCAAGACTTCTGCCAAAAATGCTGTCCAGCATCATCCCAGGAAACTTCCGAGTTTACTGAAACACAAAAACCTGATTGGACATCACACAAGGTGACAACAATGAAATAGAGGTCATTATTGCCATTTCCACTTAATCAAAAGTTGAGTTGAAAACCTTCCTTACAACATTTTCATATAGCTTTGTGCATTTTAGTCGTGCACTTGAGTAAAGAATTTTACACGACCCAGATGTTTTATACCACACTGGGTTGAATGTTCTCCTGCTCTGGTGTAGGAAAATTTGAGCATGTCAACAGTTCTGACAATTAAAAACATGGGTTTCATTTGAAGAGCCAGCAAAGACATTCCAAAAACAACTCTCTGTAAAAGGTCCCTGCAAGACAATAAATGCGTGAAATTGTAAAATCTTAGACTCAGCAAGCATCTGAGGCAGATGGTTTATGGCTTCTGTGTGTACGCTCCATTGCCAGTTTACAGCTTAAGAGTGCAAGTCATTCAAATGATCCCTGTAAGGTTTCGCTGAGACTTCCATGAAAACGGCCTTGTGACATCTGATCAAATAATATTTGCACATTTGATTATATAATTTAGCAGCCGTTTCAGATGTAAATTTTAAAAAGCCCTTTGGTTGAACCCTCACAAATCTAGCCGACACGTGAGACCTCAAGAGCAGAATTTGGGGAAGGTAGACTGGTCACATGAAGGTGACTCCAAGCAGGGAGCATTTTTGCTGAGGCGGCCATAAATCCTGTCGGCTTTCTGCGTTTACATTACTGTCTTTAGCAGTGAGGCCTCCGATGATTCGGTGGGCAACACAGCTAGCTTACCGGTACTGTTATTGCATTCTGACTATGCACACCGTGTGACACAATCAACGCAGGATTGTTGACATGCAGTTGCTTAAGGCCATGGATGACTTCTGTGAAAGGGTAACACAAACACAATCTGTCTGATAGGATTTGTTGGAGTTAGTGGCTCTCGATTGAGTTGTCTGCCTTAGTTGACAAAGGGAAAAACCCCTGTTAATGTAAAAGATTAGAACTAAGTCTCTGTATATTGATGAGAAGCTAATAACTTCTTATACTGTGGCCGAGACGGACCAGAAGGGATTAAGCATTTTAGGAGATTTACAATCAGTAAATCTGACTTAATTACTAATAATGCCTGCTGGCACTAATAAAAAAAAAAAAAGTTAAAATAAACCTTTTATTTCCCCGTTTACGTTGTTTACTGTGTAAATTTGAAGGCACATTTGCTCATTATGTTTTTAAATTAGTTTTATGCTCACTGGACAGTAATAGGCCAAGAATGACTAACTTGAAAAATACTGATGGAATACCAGTGCATTCCCATTAAGAGCAGTCACCACATGGCATTGTGTCTACTAGAACTTAAAGGTAACATAATTCTACAACCTAATCCAGCTTGATGAGCTGTTACAGACAAAAAAATAAAAATAAAAAATACAAAGATACACTGATGTCTGAGTGAGCTAGCAGAACCATAGTCATGTGGTTTACTATTAAAAATATGTTTTAGTAATGATCAGATCATTACAAAGCTATTCATGTGATTTTTGTGTTACAAAATCCTGATGATGAAAGTGCTATAATCAAGTCACCTGTCTGTCTAGACATTTTTACATTATATATACACACACAAACACAGTTGGACAAATAACTGATGAGTAACATTTAGAAGTAGAAAAATGAAAAGACTGCCTCCTCCATTGTCACTGTGCAAACTACAGCTGTAAACAGAGGTGCAGCCTCAGTAAACGAGCTATGAATCCCTGCCTACAAGGCCCACAATGTTCTTGCCTCTCAATGCTACTGCAACAGCAGCTTACTGTGCATCTTAATTAAATTGTCAAGTCAGTCTCCAGCCATTGCATGCTGTGGCAGCAAGGATGTAAGGATGCTAAAAGAGGATCCAGACCGTGTCATCCTGCCCCTAACCACGCCTACCGCACTGCAGATCAAAAACACCGAAGTGTGTCGTCTTAACCTCGGACAATCTGACAGTTTTAATCCATTAATTGTCTGCAAATTGTAACACTGCCTGCCAGTGACTCAGCGCTCTCCTTCACTGATGTAAAAACGGGAGGGATTAAAGGTCGGACAAGCATCTGTATCGTCTCGTTTCACCAATTTCACCCACTTTCTGGCCCCGAAACTTGAGCACGTTAGCCAGCTTCACCTCAAGCGGTGCGCTTCTTTAAAATATCCGTGCATACCCCGACTTTTAGCTTCAGATTAACCACCGCTGCAGGCAGCTCAGTCGGCAAAAAGCAACATTTTCTGCTTCAGTGTTACGCGCCGAATGGTTACAATGTGAAACCACAGTGGGATTAAAAAAAAGAAAGAAAACCATATGACCCCCGTTTCTGACTCGGTTAACCACGTCCACTAGACTTTTTCCGCCTGAGTAGATACAGTAAAACTGTACTCTAATGTTAATCATCTGTCATCGGCTGCGGGTGCAGTGAGCACGCGATCGAAAATGTGGCACGAGACAAAACCTCACAAAGAGCCGTTCAAGCCGCGAAACTTGCATCTTCTCTAAGTGAGCCTCGGTGTAATGGTACAAACGACAAGCAGCGAAGAAAATGGGTTTATTACCAGACACGGCGTCCTCGTTCAGCTGGTTATGCGAGTTGCATTCGTAGTGGGCTTCTGTTTCCTGACAGCGGTGCTACTCTGCTGCAGTTCCCCTCTCCACCAGCCTATCAAACTCCACTATGCAGCCGAGAGTAGAATTGTGGGATATCAGAACAGCCGGGGAGTTATTTTAGCAGCACCCTCCTCCCAATACACATACACGCACGCGCACAGCAATTGATGGCACGAGGTTTGTTGTTTTAGTGACGAACGACACTAAGAGTCCTCTCTATGTACGGACATGAGATTAAATTAAAGTCAATCAGCGGAGGAATGTAACAAAGGAAGGATGATGTGCTCAACTGATTGTTGAGTTTAAAGGTGTCCGTGGGCCGTTCTACAGTCTGCAGGGTATTTTCTGTCCCACCCATGAATTTGAAAATGATGCATGCGCAAAAGACTAAAGCATACCTTTGTTGCGTAAACTGCACTTTTCCTGAGAGAATTTTTTTAAAAGCCTTAAAATACAAAACAGTTCTTTGAGAACATTTTCTCAACTTCTTTGTAACCAAATAGGATGTTAAAATGACTTAGAAATCCACTTAAAAATAGTTGACACTTTTTTTTTACATCAAGATATTTTAAAGAATAATTTTGCAGCGCTGTTACCGGAACTCATTTAAAGGAAGAGACAACACGGTGATAGACATGCAACTTGTGCTAACACCATGGGGACACTAAAGGCCCTCTTTGACATATTTCGTATTTTTCCAGTACTTTCTGGCTAGGAGTGTGCCACTCCAATCAAGGCAAAACACTCTTACTCATATTCCCCAAAGAACACAAATCAAATTCCAAGTTTCCTTGCTTTATTTCCACTGCTAGCATCTTTCCCCATGAAAACACTAACACAAGTGTGTGAATGTGTGTGTGAATGGGTGGATGACTGGATATGTAAAGCGCTTTGGGGTCCTTAGGGACTAGTAAAGCGCTATATAAATACAGGCCATTTACCATTTATTTTTTACAAGCACTTTGCCCTAACAGTGATCAGTCTGTTATTTGCAATCCTGTTACCATAAAACAAATCAATTTAAAACAAACATATGCTACAAACATTTAAAATATTAATAAAAAATACATCTGCGGTCCTGAGTATTTACTTGTCATATGTATGTCATCTGTTAAGCCATGTTAGCGTGTACAACCCCGTTGCTCTAACATGTAATTTTCAAAATGGTTTAATCTGTTGCCTTTATAATCACTTGAATTATTATATGTGTTTGTGAAAAATATTTCAAAATAGATACAAAATTTCTAAAATAAACTGACTATTAAAGAGTTGGGCAGGATAGATTTCAAAAGTTGTTTAAATTAATCGAAATTAAGTCTCATCTAAAATTGAGTTTTCAATGTGAGTAGGACCATTTTTAACTGAATGGTCAAGAATTCATTAAACAATTTTGTTAAAAAACAACAACAAAAGAAAACAAACTACTGTGCCAAGCATAGCACACAGCAACCAAATCTCATAAGTGGACCTTTTTATTTGTTTAAAAATTGTTTAAAATAAAGAAATTTTAAAAACAATTTCTGAAGCCTATATTGTTCACCAATATGCTCCATTCATTTACCTAATGTGTTATAGAGGCAATTGTTGTTTACAACACAAATAACAAATCATTGCCAAAAATATCATCTTTATAACACTGGAAAAAAACATTCCACCAATATTGGCATTCGTGTATATATTGTCTGATATGTGCCATTTGGTGATGTAAAGTAATGTCTTGCTTGTTAGATACAGAGCTGGAGACACAAACTGAAAATATCTATATCAGAATGCTTTTAGGCTACAGAAACAGGATTGGCCACAAAAATCCAACATAGGTCACGCTCCAAGAATTAAAAGCATAAACATTATCACTATGCCATGTTCTATATCAACATTTCAGAATCTTGTGCGTGCGTATAATATAAATGTGTCTAGACAGAGCGGCGACTTGAATCTCAGTTCAACAGTGTACATTAAACTGTGTTTCACTTTTCTACTTTCTGATATTTATGTAGCGGCTAAAGTTACTTTGCAGACTAGTATTTCAATTCAACTTTATTAATATTGAGCCAATTTACAACCACAGTCACCTCAAGGCACTTTATATTGTAGGGTAAGGACCCCGCAACAGATATTCAACATATATAAGCAGTAATAAGCTTAAAAAACACGCTTCAGGTTAAAATAGTCACCACCATTAAAAAAAGCTCACTTTGACCATCCACAGGAACAAGTTTTTGCATCAGTATCATTTTCCAGAAATATAACACTGACAGGAACTGCACGACAAGCACTTCCACTATTTACATTTCAAGTACATTTTCCATGAATATTTCTGGACAATGTAGGACATTTACTCTGTGGTATAGTAGAAATTTTACTTGCATAAAGGATTCAAATACTACTTCTGTCACAGAGCTGAAGCTAGATAATCTCTATATCATCCACTACCAACTGAAAAACAATCTAAGGCACAATAAAAAAAAAAAGGAAATTATGAGGATGTGAACGCAGCGACGCAAACGCACATCTGCAGCGCTCTCCCAGGCATACATATTGGTTTGTGTGCATTCACAAATACAGACATAAAAGCGAGTTCTTAATTAGAGTCTGGGTTGTTCCCTCTGGGGATTTGTGGGTTTTGCCTCCCGCCTCCCAGTGGGAATTTGACCCAACTCGATCACCCATTTGACTTTTCTTTCATTGAACTGCTTTCATGCTGGATGCCCACACTTACAATATGCTACACAAATATAAACATGCAGTCGTGAACACTAATGAGAACTTTCTGCTGAATTCATACATAAATAGTGACAGTGACAAAGTGGGCGTGCTTTCCACATAGCAGAACAACACACAGTGACACTTATATACAGAAAGCAGACAGCTGCTTCCTCATTCAGTCTCTCGGTGGACAAGTCATAAAACAAAACCATAAAACAATGTTTTATATTTAGTGGATATAGTAAAGTAATTAAACTACACTATATACAGTCTTTTTATTCAAACAACTCTTACTTGTGTAGTTAGGAGATGATGTAATACCTGTAATATATAATAAATGTAAATGTAATAAATGTAATAACTTAAAGGGCTACCAGCCTGAGTGTTAAAGTGATATGTCCATTAACCACAAAAAAGTGAAAGGATTTGCTTTTGTCACATACCCTTACCACCAGTGGAGATCAGTGATGGTCTGTTACACGCCCTCCCCTTCACGTCCTGTCTTGTTTTTGTAATGAGTACTATAGCTTATGCTTCCAAAACAAATTGTTGTGCACATTACCACAATGAGGCTCTCTGAGAAAACATAGTGTACAAGAGGCTGTAACAACTAGCTACAATATCTTTTTTTCTGTCCAGCTAAACAATGGTTATCTACATTTAGAGCTGGTGGAGTCTGGCGCAGTATGACCAGACTGATTGTTTCAGACATTGCTCATCAGGGCCTGTCTAGCCAGCGGGTCGCGGCGGTATGACTTTAATGCAGTAAAATAAGGGATGAGAGCTTGCATATTAGCTTGTCCCTACAGGAAATATCAATGCACATTGAATACTTGAAGCATTAAATGTAATGGAGCTTGGTCATTAGATAACAAATAAAAATGGTTAAATGTTGAACATTTAAGCTGCTTAACAAAGGCAAACAGACAGTACTTTATTGCTGGTCATGAAAAACTACTTAAAAAAATGTTGCCAATAGAAGATAAAATATGAAACTTGTTTCAAATCAATCATCCTCATTCCTCCCACTTTCATATTTGAGGGTAGGGAGTAGCTTAAATATATTTTGGGTAGTTCTGTAATGAAGTTGTTACAGTCTGTGATGGTAGTGACATTGGAGGATTATCCCCTAAACACCTCATGAGGTGGTTTTTGGCTACCACACAGCAAAAAAAGAGACCAAAATACACCATCAGAAAATTGATCCTTGTTAAAGCAGACACTAATACTGGGTTGGATCCCTTTTTTGCCTTTAGAGCTGCCGTAACTCTTCATGGCAGATTCAACAAGCTGCTGGAAACACTTCTCTGAGATTTTGCTCCATTTGACATGATAGTACTACAGTTGCTGTAGATTTGGCAGCTACTCATCCATGATGCAAATCTCCTGTTCCCCCACATCCCAAACATATCTATCAGACTGAGATCTGCGAGTGTGGGGGCTATTTGAGTAGGGTGATCTGATTGTCATAAAAGCAATTTGAGATGATCTGAGCTCTGTGACATGGTGAGTTTTCCTGCTCGAAGCAACCATCATGTGCACACTGTGATAATAACGGGATGGACAAAGTCAGCAACAATACTCAGGTAGGATGTTGCGTTTACACATCTTGTTTTTTTAAACACTAAAAAATGCCAAGAAAATATCCCCCACACCACTACACCAGCAGCAGCATATTGTTTATGCCAAACTCTGACCCTAGGGTCAGAAATCAGGACTAAGAAATCAAGAGACATTGACAACCTTCTATTGTCCATCTTTGGTGAGCTGGTATGAACTGTAGCCTCAGTTTCCCATTCCTAACTCACAGAAGTGGAACTCAGCGGTCTTCTGCTACTGCAGTAAATCTGCTTCAGTGTTCAACATGAACAGGGGACTGTATAGACTAGGTCTTAAATATGCTAATATTTTTAGCCTGGCTTTGTCAGAATGCCTTTGGTTTTTGTCAGCTGGTAGCCTAAAACAAGCTCCTCAAAGTGGAAGAGTATCTATTGTAGGCAGGGTTTTCACAAATCCATGACTGGTCTGATTTAATGTTAAATTAACAGCCAGTTTTGAAGTTCCAAAGCAATGTTCAAAATGTGTTACTGTCTCAATTGTTTTGAAAATCCAAAAAAATTTCTAAGTCCATATCTATTAGAAGGCAGAAGGTAAACAGAACTGTCCTGCAGAAAAATATTTAAACACTTGTGGGGTTTTTTAATATATAATTGTTAGCTCAACATGTAATAAAACAGGCTGCACGTGTCACCCTTTCTCAATGGTTATTTAAATCTGAGGCAATAAAGCCTTGGCCTTTAACTGTGCTGTGACTTTCTTCACATATAATTACTCACAGATAAGTGAGTGCACATCGGTGACTCTTCCAAGTCTCTAGA